ACTTACTTATCCTTGTGTAAGTTCTGTTTGAAGAACTATTTGATAGGTTAAGTTTTGTAAACTTTTTACTCATATCATTCTTTCCATATGTGGATAGTCTTTGTAATACAGGGGTTTTACAAATTTGTTTGTAAAAATAATGAAAGTCTATTCTTAATGAGAGTCATACAGATTTATCATCTTGAATCCTTTGGTATACCTAAAATCTGCTTGGGGTGGGGAGTTATTCATGTGTTTGTGCACATGTGCTAGTTGTTGAGTACTTCTTTTGTGCTGTCTGAACACTGTAACCTCAAATATGCAGATGACACCACCCTTATGGCAGAAAGTGAAGAAGAACTAAAGAGCCTCTTGATGAAAGGGAAAGAGGAGAGTGAAAAAGTTGGCTTAAAGCTCAGCATTCAGAAAACTTAAGATCATGGCATCTGGTCCCATCACTTCACGGCAGATAGATAGGGAAACAGTGGAAACAGTGGCTGACTTTATCTTTGGGGGCTCCAAAATCACTGCAGATGGTGACTGCAGCCATGAAATTAAAAGACGCTTACTTCTTGGAAGGAAAGTTATGACCAACCTAGACAACATATTAAAAAGCAGAGATATCACTTTGCCAACAAAGGTCTGTCTAGTCAAGGCTATGGTTTTTCCAGTGGTCATGTATGGATGTGAGAGTTGGACGGTGAAGAAAGCTGAGCGCCGAAGAATTGATGCTTTTGAACTGTGGTGTTGGAGAAGACTCTTGAAAGTCCCTTGAACTGCAAGGAGATCCAACCAGTCCATCCTAAAGGAGAACAGTCCTGGGTGTTCATTGGAAGGACTGATGTTGAAACTGAAAGTCCAATACTTTGGCCACCTGATGCGAAGAGCTGACTCATTGGAAAAGACCCTGATGCTGCAAAAGATTGAAGGCAGGAGGAGAAGAGGACGACAGAGGATGAGATGGCTGGATGGCATCACCGACTCTGTGGGCATGAGTTTGGGTAAACTCCGGGACTTGGTGATGGACAGGGATGCCTGGCGTGCTGCGGTTCATGGGGTCATGAAGAGTTGGACACGACAGAGCGACTGAACTGAACACTTTAAATGAATTATATGTTTATGTAATTTGATTTTCATAATGACTGAAATGGTTACTACTTTATTTCCATTTTGTAAATGAGGAAACAGGCTTAAAGAAGTTGTCACATTACTAGTAAGTGTCAGACTAGTTAGTGTTTGAATGCAGACAGTTTTTTTTCTAAAACCTGTGCCAACAGGACATTACTATCTGTACTGAAGAGTGCTAGTATTACAGCTCCAGCACCAAACATGCAAATAAAGAATATTCTAAACAAAAGCTTGTCAAAATAGCTCACTTGAGGCAAACAAGTCTGTTTATAAAGTCTTAGTAAGATTGCTTTATGGTGAAAATCGGGGAGGAAAAAATATTAACGGGGGCATTCTGTAAGTGATTTAAAAATTAACAGTGACAGATCAGAAGCAGATCAGTTGATTATGTAGCAAAGAAGCTGGAAAGGAAATAACTATTAAGCTGAAAGAGTTAATTGCCTCAATCTTACTCTGAAGCAAACAGAGTTGAAAACAAGTTGAAAACTCTAGAAGCCAGATTGATAAAATAAATGTACATAAATCAACAAAAGTATATAGCCTTCAGGCAATTTTTAAAGAAACTCAAGGAACCATTGCAGAAGCATTGACTCAGATGTGTAATAAGTAGCTGTTGTGCTGTGGTAACAGTTGAATACAAATGTAAATCAATGCCTATACCTAAGAAAGCTTGGGGGGCTTTGCAGTGAGAGACTGAGCCACATCTCCAAAGAGGCAGCCTTTCATAGTCTTTAATAGGGTTGGCAAACTTTTTCTGAAAAGGGCTGACTGTAATTATTGTAGACTTTGCCACTGTCGACAAAAAAATAGGTCACAACCTGAAAGTAGAGTTATTTTATTTGGTGGGAATGTTTAGGACTCTGAGCCCCGGAGATGGAAAACTGCTCCAAGGAGGCAGGAGGGGCAGTCAGGCTATATACAGGTTTGCAACAAAGGGAGCAGGCAGTCTGAACATCAAAGATCAGATATCAAGTTAAGAAATTTAGCATTCTGTATATGGGAAGATGCAAGCCTCTGGGCTCACTGAATTCATTTCTCTCATGTGCATCTCAGCCATCTGGGGCCAATCTTGTTTCCTTGTTCACCTTGCTTCTTGTATTCCCCCAACTCCTCAGCAGTCACTGCAAGGGTTGGCAGCATCTGCTGGATCATGGTTTTGGGAGTCCGCATTCATACAGAGGCCAGAAATTGCTGATGGCTATGTCATTTCTTGTTGATTAATATGTCAGGAAATATTTTCATTTCACACCAAGTACATGGTTTCTGTTGTAATTATTCAACTTTGCTATTGTAGTGCAAAAGTAGCCATAGGAAATATAAAGAAATGAACATGACTGTTCTTCAACAAAACTTTACAGAAAATACTTAGCCAGCTTTTGACTGCTGGCCTATAATAATAGATAGAATCCTCCCTAACACATGCATCACTGAAAAATAGCCTTTTAATTTATGGTTTCTTCAAGGGAAAATAAAAATATTAATAACATCCTTAGAGGGGGTATCAAATTTTTGAGTAGTTAATTGGAGGCGCTTCCTAGTTTTATTTAAGACAGATTTGGATGGAAGATCTGCTTTAATAGTAATGGTTTGCATTTGATGCTTGTTTTCTTGTTATTGCTAGGCAGTGTCATAAGCACGGATTTGCTTATGACAAAGTTACAATTTTTTTTGAATTCTCAGTCATAATGGGAGAGATGGTATGTTACGAATTTCTCCAAATGAATTATACTCAATTATAGATCATACGGAAGTTTAATATAATTCTAAAATCAGCTTGGTTTGGAAGTTGTTTGTGTTTCTCAGGCATTACTGTGTATATGAGTCTTACACAGAATTTGATAAAATGCAGATTCTTACTTGCTAGCTAGGGTGCTGCCTGAGGTATCTTGCATTTGTGCCAAGTTCTCAAGTGATATTGATACTGTCCTTCTGAGTAAACATCAAGTGGGACAATAGCCTATGACTATCTGAATATTTTTGAAGTGTTCTATCTCAGCAATTTTGTCGTTCTAGTTACTCAAGTCTGAATACCGTGAAGTTATCCTGGGATCTTCTCTAACACATATGCCATATTCAGTCTATCCTGATGGCTGTATTTTGAAAACTGCTGGAATCAGCACTTTTTATCACCCTTGCTTCTCCTTTTAGTACAAACTGCTGTAATCTCCCCCTCTAGATGAATGCAGTGGTCTTGGAGCTGGCCTCTACTTAAAACCTCCTGGCCCATCTCACTCGGAGAAGTCAGTGTATTTACCTTGATAAGCTGTTACATGATACCTAAAGAATAGCACCAGAAGTATAACAAATGCTGTGCATGTAGGCCGAGTGGAAAGTTTTCCTTTTTTTCTTGACGTTTATTAAGGCAGACTGTGATTGAATTGACAGTTTAAAAGTAACTAATACTGAGTTGAAATTCCAGTTTTTAACTTGTTAAAACCTTTAAATTATTCTTATATATGTTAGTTTCTGGTTGGGTTTTGAGTCAAAGTATGGGCCCTTGCATTTCTCCTTACTTAACCTAATAGAGAAATTTCCTAGGCAATACATAACCTTTAATGTAGAAATTCACAGGTTTACATTATTTAAAAATCTAATAGAAAAATTACTTCATACACACATGGGCAACTCATAACTGATGAACTTAGTGGGTTCTTGTGCCTAGATATTCCAAAATATATTTGAATAGTTCTTTGCAATTGCTTGTCTTGCAGTAATTCAAGAAAGAATTCTAAAGTGTGCATGTGTGCTTGGTTGGGTCCAGCTGTTTGTGACCCCATGTGACTGCCATAGAATTTTCCAGGCAAGAATACTCGTGGGTTTCCATTTTCTCCTCCAGGGATCTTCCCAACCCAGGGATCAAACTGGAGTCTCCTGAGTCTCTTCCATTGCAGTCGGATTCTTTTACCACTGAGCCGCCTGGGAAGCCCTAGAATTCTAAGAGTTGATTTAAAAAATAATTTTACCTCATAAGTTTGTTCCCCTTAACTAACAAATTAATTTTCTTTACTGTTTCTCATTTTGTCTCTTATAATCACCATTTTCCTAGTTCTCTAGGTCAAAGTAATCTTTTACTCTTTCCCTGTATTTATGTAGGTACCAAATATTGGAAATAAAATACTTCAGCTCTTTTATCTCTTTGCTTCTCTGTTCATTTCACAGCCAGTTACTCTAGCTGTGCAAGCGTCCCTGCTTCTTATCTCTCCCTCTATAATCCATTCTGTGTTTTGCAGATCATTCTTTTAGAAGATTTGTGTATATTGCTTACATCATGTCAATCTTCAGAGGAATCTATAAGATTGAATCTAAACCTCTCGGTCACTAGAGATCCATCTGTAATCTAGCTCAGCTTGATTTATATTGTTCTTGTTACCTTCACTGTAATCTTTCAGATGAACTTCTTGGCTTACATGCCCATCCCTCCTCAGTGTATACACACGGTTGCACTTTTACCACTTACTCTTAGTTGTCAGATTCGCCTACCTATATGCCATTTTATTTGTTCATTCTGTGTTGCCGCTTAAATGTGTTTAAGCTTCTTAAAATACATAACCTATCAACTTCAATAAAAACTCCAGTCCAAACTGATCTCTTTTTCTCTAAGCTCCAGTTTTATTCATGTCTGTACCACAAAATTTATCATGAGTCTTTGTTACTTAATACATGTATAAGGCTTCTCCTTTCAGAAAGACTATGCTTGGTGGCAGGGAGTATAAAAGTATACTGGATTATCCAGAAAATTTACTGACTTGATTCATATTTTATTCTTTTATGTGTAAAATAATTTCTTAGAGTTTGGGATTTAAAAGAATTAATTATGTATATTATGTGTACACGGCAAACATAAAAATTCTCTGTTATCATTCATCCTGTAGGAAATCCTTTTTTAAGGAGAAATGAAGAAGAAAACTATATATGCCCTAAATGTGGACGATCAGGACTATGAAGATATGCAAGGTAACTTAATTTTTATAAAGCTTTGTGTTGAAAGCAAAACTTCGTGTTTCCAAACTGTTAGTACATATTTTTTTGTTTACAAATTTTCATTGTTCTTAAACTCTGAAATAGCTGCCTAAATAAGAAGTGCACACTTTTTTTTTTTTTGGCTCTTCTCATGTCTTGTTTGCAGTCAGTCATGGTTTTTACTTCATTGAACTCTTTATATTCTTAAATTTTTGCTCCCTGCTGATTTCAGAATGACTTTTTTTGATCATTCATTTGTTTTTATCATTGTTGTCTTCTTTTTTTTTTTTTCCATTCCTTTTCTTCTTTCTGGGGGAAAAAAAAAATCTTAAAGAGTTCCTGTAGTGAAAATCTATTGGTGGTAAATGCTTCAGTGTTTTTAAATTTTATCCTCTTCTAAGCTTTTCAAAGAATGATAATACAATTCTGGATTGATAATTACTTATTTTGTCTCTTAGCACTCTGAAGTTTGGTTTTTTGGTTTTTCTTTCCCCCCTTTGGGCTATTTTCTAGTTTTTCTTACTAGCTGTCAAGAAACGTCCCTTCAAGTTAATTGTCATTCCCTTGTAGATGATCTGTCTTTTTCCTCTTTTTGGTTTTAAGATATTGTTTTCATCTTTGATGTTGTACAGTTTGGCAACATTGTTTCTAAACATGGATTATTTTCTTTTCTCCTATTTAGTATACCTTGTGTGTCCTTTATCTGTTGGATTGTGTTTTTTGTTTATCATTTCTCAGCCATTACTACTTTAACTATTGCCTGCCCTTTACTCTCTTCTTCTGAACCTCACTTAATGTGTTAGACTTTGTTCTGACCTCATTTTCCAGCCTTCTTTCACAGATTACATCTCCTTTTCTGTCTCTTACAGTCTGGGTAGTTTCTTCAGTTCTTCTAGTTCACAGATATTTTTTTCTTCTGGGTTTAGCAAACTCTAGGAGATAGCAAAGGACAGGGAAACCTGATGTGCTGTAGTCCATGGGGTTGCAAAGAGGCAGACACAACTTAGCAACTAAACAACAATAGTGTAGTCTTTGAAAGTTCTACTGTTTGAAGCCAGTGGATATCTAAATAAATTTATAATGAATATAGTATGTAAAATATAAAAATTTCAAGTCAGCTTATTTTCTTTGGCTTGGTGATATTTGATTATGAGGTGTGGAATCCTGAGGGCCTAAATTAGGGATGTTATCATTCAGAGGATTTATATGTATTTGTTTTTTTCTGAACCCATGCTGGGACCACTTTAACCCCATTTGAGGGTCTTGGCTTAAGAGGTGAATCTCCCTGGGTCAGTTTCCCTACCTGGGTTGGTCCTAAACCTTAGTCTCCAGATCTAAACACTGGTATGAACATGTGTTCTCAGGGTGATCTCAGCTTTTCCATTTGCTTGGCATATACTGGTCACATTTCAGCTGACTGTTTCTTTATTTTTGTTTTATGTCATATCTTGGAGTTTCTTTCACTTTTGAGCAAGCACTGCTTACTTCCTGTGGGTTGGTTACATTGCTGGTAGGTGTTTAAATGAGTACAAACCCTAAGAGGTATAATTTTTGGCATTATCTATTCAGATTACAGATGTACAGACACATTGGTCTAGAATTCCATTTTTAAGAACTTATCCTATTGATATACTATTAAAAGTGAGAAACAAGTTTTTCATTGTTTGAAAACAAGTGGTTGTCCCATCTTTAGAATGAAACAACAAAAAACTCAAGCTGGTGTGTATAGTGTTCTAGCATTTGTCTGAAGAAGGAGGTTTAAAAGAGTATGTGTTAGGATTTGCTTGTCTGTACATTCCATATGTCTCTGGAGGGACACAGAGCAACTTAACACTTGTTACTTGTTGCGCTGGGCAGAACTGAATACATAGAGATGGGTTTGCTTGGGAGATTTGTTACTATAACCCTTTTAAAATTTTTAAATATTTGAACTGTATGCTTATTGTTTTAAAATTAAATTCATGAAAAATTCTTTTCACTCCTCCTTAAATTTAAATTAGTAAACATTGGAGGTTTTGTGCTCAAGGAGTTTGTTTCTTAAAGTGCTTCTAAGATCTAATTGCTTTGTAGAAGGAGGGCCCTTTAGAGTAATCAAGTCCATCATACTACCAGAAACATAAGTCATTTGATCTGGAGAAATTGAAAGCATATGTGACTGCTTTACTTTATAGGTGAAGAAGACAAAGAAAATACTGCTACCACTAGTGTGTTGTACAGTGAAGCTGATAGATGTCCAATATGTCTCAGTTGCCTGTTAGAGAAGGAAATTGGTTTTCCAGAAAGCTGTAATCATGTCTTCTGCTTGACCTGTATTCTTAAATGGGCAGAGGTGAGTCTAAGTATTAAATATTATTGTATTTTAATTCCCTAGCATGATTTCATTCTACCTAAAGACTTGATACTGCCTTTCATAAATTATTTCACAGTAATGTGTTTTTTTCCACTTAGGACGAATGTCTCTGTATTGCTCCAATTTTGTTGACTATTCTCTTCTAAACTTTATATATTCAGGTTTTTGTGCTTTTGTAATACAGAAATTATAAATGCATACCTAAAAAAATTATTGGAAAATAGATTAGGTATTTTTTTCTGGTAGAAACACAGTAATTCATCTTCAGTGTACTTGACCCTCTTGTGATTATATCTGCTTACTACTTATAATGCTTTCTCTCTGCTTTGTGTTTTATATTTTTCAGAGAATTTTTATATAGATTATTAAATTTCTTCCCTATATCAGCCTTGTGGGATAACCAGAACAGATGTAACAATGTCTTTCCATTTTACAGATGAGGAAACTTGGATTCTGTGTTCTATAACTTGGCCAAGGTCTCATAGCTTAAGAGGCAGAAATAAATTTATAACTGCATTTTCTAATTCCCGTATTATGAACTATTTTCAAAGTTAGAGATATGTTGAGGTCTTCATAGATAGTAAATGATTGAGAAATAGAAAAATTTGAGACTTTTAATATATTATTTTGATACAGTTTGTGCCAAGTAGATCATACTGCTGTACAGTGAGTATTCATTATGAGCCCTGTTGTTGTGAATTGTGAAATGAAAACTTGTCACACAGATCATATTATATTTTTTGAGTTAGTAATTTGTCAGTGTGTAAAAGTTAGTAAAGGAAATAAATCTTAAAAATATTTTTAGTATTAGCTGCATTCAAATTGTTTGTTGTCGTTAAGCACATTAGAATTGCCTTTTGCATAATTGGGGTTTTCACAGTTCTGTGTATATTTCATTAATATGTGTGTATTTCATTTCAAAATGTGTGTATTTCATTAATAATGTGGAAAAGGGAACATAACTGTACTGACTATGGCCAAGTTCTGGGAGGAGGAAAAAAAGATTTGTTATACCATTTGAATTCATAATAGCATACTTGAAACAGTTCTAATTAGATAAAAGTCTAAACTGGTCTTTGGCAAGAAAGGACTCAGGATAGGTGAAAATGTATTTTGGGAAAAAATCTTTTGAGTTTAATTATTTAGTATAATTCTGAACACTTCTGTGTGTTTGCAGGAGTGTTTACTAATGAAATGAAAATGCGTATTTTTCTCTGCCACCCAACTAATGATTTCATCTGTGTTAAATTTAGTGCACCATGGTTTGCTCTGTGATTAGATATCTTAAAAATAGAAGCATTTTTGCTTCCAGTAGAGAAACAGTTACTAGATGGGCAGAAGTCTTCAATTTGATGCTTTTTGTAAGATTGTATGCAGTGACCACATAATAGGGAGGTTCAACAACTGTGATTTGAGTGTATGTTTTTCTCTGGAGATGAGAATATATAAAATAGACTTGATTCACCTCCTTCATTACACTACATTTATTTTTGATACAACCATTAGCTTTATCATGGTATGCAAGTTCAGGTTTCTCTAGAGTGTGAATCTTAAAGTGGTACTACGAGGTACATATTCACCTCTACTAGATAGTGCTAAACTTGTCTTTTTTAACTCTTGCTGAATATTTTTAGGTTGAAAATACCTGATTACATACATAATGTTACAATCAGCACTTTTCTTGCATGTAATGTCTTTCTTGTTTTGTGTTACTTCTTTGTATATAAACATTTTATTGAAGCCAAATTGCTTTAAAAAGAAAATACTTACCTGCTGTACTACCATTAATTGTGTTAGAGAGTGGGGGAATTGGGATATTGTTTAAACAAAAGTAGCTAACTTTGGAAGTAGAGAATAAACAGAGTATTTGAATTATTTCATTGTCCATAATGGGAATAGCATACATCAGTTAAATAAGCCATTTAAGTTAAGCAGTAACAAGAACACAGTCTTCTAATAAAATGTTCATTATAAACAATAAATGAATACTGGTTAACAAAATCAGTTAGGATTTGAACTAAATTTTCAGTTTGAATCTTTTATTGGTATGATAAAAAATTAGATATGTTTGAGGTATATAAGCACTTTGACAAATAGAAACATTTCATATTCACTGCTGTAGTTATTCATGACCATTAGTTATTAAGATCTCTCTTCTCATTTTCCTCAGCTTCCTTCTGTTCTTAAAAGAGAGGCATGTAGTTTACTTTGGATTTCGGTTTTAGCAATAAGTGTCCGTATTCAGTCTCTGTTACTAGCCAGGCTTGTGCTAATAAGGCTTTCATATATATTCTTTCATTTAAATTACTGTGTTAATGGTTATTTATTATTCAGGGCAAGGATCCTGAACTCTTAATTTGTTTCTAAATACTTAATACTTTTTAAAAATTGACCCATAGTTTTAAATTTTATTAATGTTCACTTCTAGTGGGAAGTTAGAAATCAAAAGTGAGATTTACAGTGATTGGAAATCTACATAATAAGAAAAAAGTACAAAATGTATTCAGGGTCACCTTCCTAGTCTTCTCTTTCAGAAGTTCTGCTGAAGTATCTGAGATTTGTACTCAAGATTCACTAAAATATGATTTGGAATAGTTATCAAGAACCAAGAAGAACTCATTTATTTACTGTCACCATAATATTTTAGGCATTGAAGAAATTCTCTGTAAGAGACAAGTCAAGTATATAATAGTCTAGTAAATTTATTTTGGACACACTCCTGGAATTTCTCGTGTTCTTAAAATACCTATATCCAAAGTCACTATTAGTTTGAATTTCTTTAAGCTCTAAAATTTTGATTCTGTGGTTATTTAAAACAAAAGCTATATGAGGGTTTTAAAGTGAGTAAGTAACTGAATTTAGTTGCTGGTTATTTCATAGCATTTACTTTACCTGGGGCAGAAAGATTAAGAATAATGGAAATGATGATCTTCATGGCCCAGAGCCTAATGGCTTCCCTCCCATTAGGGACACTAGAATAAATTGAAATTAAACATGTCTACTCTACTGTAGGTTTAATTTCAAGGATCTCAAGAGATGGCAAGCCTGTTGATTTATAAAATAAAAATGATGATTTTGAAATAGAATATTAAATCTAAACAAAGACATAGTAATTGGCACTTTAAGAAAGTTGAAATTCTTGCTATTTTAAAGCATCAATATTAGAACTGAGAATCTGGAACTAAAGGAGACCTTTGACCTGATGAAATATGTATAGAACTAATACATTAAACTTTATCAGCTACTTAGAAAGTTAAGTGTTTTTACTGTAAGCAAAAATGCATTCTAAACATATTGAGGACATTTTGTTTACACATAAGTTTAATCTTGATTGTCTGAGTTTGCACATTTTAAAGTAGATAATTAGAAAGGTGAAGTTTAGAGTAGTTTGACACATGGTTATAGTATTCACAGCCAATCATAATTATGATCCTCAGTAGACACTAGGGTAAGCTACACACACTCACACATACATGTTAAGAAAATAAGATGTATGGTTTGACAGGTTGTCAAGAAGTGGTCAAAATTTTGACCCTTTAAAGGTTTAAGTTTGAGGACTTGGAAACATTTCATGTTTGAAGTGTTTAAGGTTTGTTGTTTTTTTTTTTAAACTCTATTTAAAGGAATATGCAATATGTATGATTAGGAGGTTCTTGATATCCACTGGGGTTCTTTTCACTTTTAAGTAATGTAAATATTCCCTTTATTTTTAAAGTAACTTTTAAATGTGATTACCTTTCCTACTATAAGCAAATTATCCTCCCTCAACTTGCTGACAGCTTCAGTTTGAGAAAGTAAGGTTAATGAAATAAAAATTTGACAATTGGCAAGGGTATGTTTTCTCTCATGAGACTAGAAATGAAGAGTCTTACTGTGGTGATATATGGTTCTTGAAGAAGTCAGACAACAGTGTTCAATGCAGACAGGTGAGGAGTATATTTTTGAATTAATAATACCAAAAAAATAAAAATATGACTAGTTGACTTATATCTTGACTCCTGATGTGTTTTATACAGATGTTCCGTTAAGCAGTGGGTAGAAAAATTTATGTATCATTCTAATGATTAGACTATTGTTTGGTAACATAATTCAGCAAAGTTTTATTGCCTGGATTTTCCCAACAGTTTTTGCTAAAATTTAATCTTTCTTTACTCCTGAACTAAACCAAATCTGTTACATAGTTCTCAGTGAACAGTGATTTAAACATATCTGTGGAGCACTACCATTAGTCCTTATCTTTATAAAGCATTGTTAAATACATTAATTCATTTAATTATTGCAACTTATGCAGTAGGTGATTCAGGGCTGTCTATCTTCATCCTTAAAGTAGATTAGAGGGGTTGCTAGTTCTGACTTCTCCAGAACTTGAATTTATGACTGATTATTCCAAATTCTCAGTTGTTCTCACTCTGTAGGTTAATTCTTTGGTATAACCTTTGATAGAAGAAGAATATGTTTATATTGTGAATGCTCATTATCTAAAGCATATATATATAATATATTTTCATTACCAGTTGGATGTATATTTCTGTATAGTCTCAATTTGAAATGTCAGAATTTGTAAAATGATTTATATAGATAGTTTATGGGATTTTCTCTTTCCGTGCTAGAAAAAGAAAGTCTTAACTATTAAATGTTAAAAGAAAAAAAGATTAAAAGTAATTCTATCCAACTGTTGTAATACATCTTTAAGAAAATGAAAAAGTTTCTTTTGAGTAGTTTAAACTGTTTTCTTGCTGTTAATTTTATCACTGACAGCTATTTGTCTTGTAGGGATACATTCCTGAAAGTGGGTTATAAAGAACCATAGTTTCATTAATATGCATTGACAAGGACTGTCTTGAAAGAACTGATTAAATGTGATAGTGTATATGTAGGCTGACTACAGGTGAGCATTTTCATTAGGGGTCCAGACTATGTATCTTAGGACCATCAAGGAGAAAGGATAGGTCCTGGTGAATGGCTTTAAAAATAAGCATCAACCTGTGATGGTGTAATTCCTAAATCACTTTTGTTGATTTTTAACTGGAGTTTTATATAATGTGCTGTATTTATCAGTAAGAGAGATTGATGTTTTAGAGATTCCCATGGACAGACAAATCTACCTAAAGCATAGGAACTGAGATTTAGTCTTTAAGCACTTACCTTTAACACTTGCTTCTCTCTCTCTAGGAGGGGCTATCGGTAGGCAGCCTTTGTGATTGAGGATAGAGCAGCAGCAGGAAGCAAGAAATATTAGAAATCAAGAATCCTGAATTCCCAAATAAGGAAGGTTTCCTGTTCTTACATTTAAATATGGGTTTGTCTGAGCTGGGAATTTACAACGCTTCAGAATACTAGGGTATGTTTTACTGAAATCATTAGGAAGATTATTTTTTCTACTGAAATTGCCTCCTTAACTGATACAACTTTACTAGAGAGCAGTCACAGTAAAATGTATGCTCTGTTCTTTTAACACACGTTACATTGTAAAGTAGTGATCAAATTCTGTTCATTTTCTAGCTATATCACAAAGTTGAATGATATTCTATTACTTTGCTGTGAAACTAATTAAATTAGACACAAAATAAAAGTCATTGTCAGTTAAAATAGGTGAAAGAGTATATATATATGGACTCAAAATGGTGAATAACCAAAGTGTATTTATTTTTGTTTTAAAATTTGGGATAATTTTCTTCAGAACTAAAAATGCATTTTAAAGCAGAATTAAGTGTATTTTAAAATTCCATTAGTTTAAAATGTGAATTTTTAAAACTACACAACTTAAAAACTAAATTAGTTATTTTAGTGACACAAACTCAAGATTAGAATATCTTTGAGATTTTCCGAATGGATATCTGCTGGATTATGAGGATGAAGAATCCTCAGGAATGCTTTAAAGTTAGGCCAATGCAAACCATTATTTAAAACCTCTTTTTTCCCTGTTAAAGCTATTTCATCATCATAGGTATATAATTTTATGCTTTAGTGTCTATTAATGATGGTGTTTTTGAGCTTTAGCATATGCTAATATAAGGTACTCATATTTTTATTAGAGTTTACCTTAAAGGAAAAATTAAAGATCCACTTAATTTAAAAAAATCTGTTTCAATTTTTTTTTCATTTAATTCTTCTTTAATCACTATTTACTGAAGTATGCTGTGAAGACTTAACTCAGGATAACTGAAATTTCTGTTTCCCCTTTGAAACGCTTTGCTAAACTGCTTTAAGGTCAGAAATAGACATCATGATTTCTCAGTAGCCATAGCAAAAGATATTTTGTCTATTTTAGGTAGCTTATTTTCTCATGTGTTTTTTTTTTTTAATCTGGGGAGGATAACCTGTTTTTAAGAAATTTTTCTAATGGCTAAGCCTGAGCCAAAGAAAATCTGTTAATTTATTTTCTAGTGTTAACTAGATTATCTTTGGGAAATAAAAGTATAAATAGATTATCTTAATATATAGCAGTAGTTTTTCAACTACTACTTTGTATTTCTGCTTTTTTTCTTTTTGTTTTTTAAATAGCAGTGAAACCCTTTCTTCACATGAAACCTTACACATATCCATGACAATTATGCTATGGATAAAAGAACAAAACCAAAATCTTACTCAGAATTCTTTATTATCTGTAAGAGATCAAAATGGAATGACTCAGGTTAGAACTCTGATACTTTGAACATGGTAAAGGAAAGAGTGCCATTTAGCTGATGTCAACAGAGGAAATTTAATAAGAAGAAAATGAGATTGTGTAATTTCAGGGTTTTAGAAAGGCTTGGTGTATCTGACATATATCTGATATTTAAATTCCTTTAACATAGTGACTTTTTGGATCGTAGTGTTAGTTTATCTCAAAATAGGTATAAAAATAGTTTAATGTCCATATATGTCATGAACTTTGAAAAGTCCAATTAAAACATTATTAACAATTTGTGTCTCTTACATGTATATGTACATCATATTGTGAGTTTTCATTAGTGAATCAAGCTTTTTTATTATTAGTGCTATAAAGCCAGTTGACGTTCGGAAGACTTTACATAATACTTAGTGTATGCCATTAATTCCTGCAGAAACCTCAGAGATTATTATCCCTATTTTCACAAAAGAGACGTAGAAAGGCTATGTAATTTGCTTAACATTAAACATGAGGAAATGGTAGCCCACTCCAGTATTCTTGCCTGGAAAAATCCTATGGACAGAGAAGTCTGGCGGGCTACAGTCCGTGGGGTCACAAAGAGTCGGATGTGACTGAGCTCCTAAGCACATGCATGCATATAGACAGGGCAGAATATGAAAATAGTAAATCCAAAGCCCTTACACATCTATTTTAATAGTTTTTTTTTAATTTTTTTAACAAAATTTATTATTATTTTATGTATTTAATGAATACTTATCTAAATTTACCTTTAAAATAGAAAATGCGTTTTGAAACTTCAGTAAAAGTAAGTACTTGAAGGTTTCCATGTTAGAGTATTCTTTTGAGTTATAAATGTGTTAATACAACTTCTAGGCTAAGGCATTTTATGCAGTAAATTCTGATATAAACAACAGTCACATAGTTATGATGCTGAGTTCTTTGAACTAGAATTGCTATTTGCAATGCATTATTTAAAAGGTATGGACAGTTTTGTTGCTCCTTGTAGTAAAGTTTTTTAAGGTCAAATTTTTCTGAGGGGAAAGGAATAGCATCCTAAGGTACTTGGAAGTAAGCTGAGGTGGGTTCTACCAATCTGAACCAATTTAATATAGTAAGGAAGGTCACATTTCCTAATTCAGATACGGTGTAAAGCATTTGATCAAGGCCTCCCTACTTAGGAAAAGAAAAATCACTTTTTAGCAGGGTAGTAAAAAGTAATTCAGTTTGTTTTGGCAGCTCCCAAAGTAACTCACAAGCTTTTGTGAAAATGTATTATATGATCAAGGGCCACACACATTCTGTTCTGCTTGCACTTGGTTTATCTTGGTTTGTGCCAAAGTCCAGAAAAGCAAAAATAACATTTTTCTACCTGGGAATATAGGATTATTTATCAAAACCTGATTACTGTCTTTTAGACTATTACTATTAAGTTGTTAGAATCCTGATTTACTTTTATAACCATAGATATTAAAATATCACCTTTTAGTATGGTCTTCATAGACTGCAGAATGTTCCCTTTTACCCTACATACTTTAATCTTAAAATATTTAAATAATATAAACCTTTCCCTATACACCCATTTAATAATACTACCAGAGAAACGGTTAATTAAGAGTTGATGCATATTAATTTTGAAAGTACAGGAAGTAATACTTGTGTCAAAATAAAGTTTTAGAATTACAGAGTGGGCAGAGGACAATTTTTCTTAATCTGTAAATAAAGCCTAATGCAGTTTGTAAAAGAACAGCAAACTAATAAAAAAGAGTTAGGCAAAGGCATGAATTAGACAGTTTAAAGAAAAGGATCTTTTAAGAGCCCTTAAGTATGAAAATATTTTCAACTTATATAAAAGGATATATAAATCAAAACTGTTATGACATACATATTAAGAATGGGGCAGCTGTGAAATAGTAATATGAGCCAATTTAAGATCGGTAGATAGGTAATAAAGAGAAATACAACATTCAGTTCAGCATCTGAATTTTATATTTAAAAGATAACACGTGTTATGTATTAACATTGATATCTCCAAAAAGATATGTAAGAAACTACTTCTGGAAAGGGTACCTATGTGACTGAGGGAGGAGTGGAGAAATCTTTCCTTTTCTTCATATCTGCTTTTTTTCCCCTTTTAAATTGCTGGTGCAGCTGCTTTTTCAAGATTCATTTGGGGGGGAGAATTGTCATAGAATATTAAAATCTGTGAGGGACCTGTCCAAGTCATTCCTTTTACAGCTTATTTAGAACTTCTCAAGTGCTTTGGATCACAGAACTAATGATTTCAGCCCAGATTCCTTTCATTGTAGCTGTAGTTCTCAACTGGGCAGCAGGTCTTAATAGGTATTAACTTGATAACAGCGATCTTCTTTGTCTTGTTCATTGTATTCCACTTATTTAGCATACAATAGTTGCTCAGTAAATGTTTGAATTTTTTAAAATTATGGTATTTATTTGTGACATGACACAGATGGAAAGTGTTTCATCTTTATTTTTGAAAGAAGAAAAAATTGTTTTTCTGTTGTTTCCTAATCCAGTGAAAAACTTACCATAAATGTTATAGTTTAATTTTGACCTATTTTAAAGAGACATTTGTAAAGTTATAATTTGTTAATGATTTTTCAGACACTGCCTTCATGTCCTATTGACCGGAAACCTTTTCAGGCGGTGTTTAAATTCAGTGTATCAGAAGGTTGTGTTAAGGTAAGGCTTAGAGTTTATTTTGCAGAATGAACGGTGTAAACTTAATTGAGATGATTTTGCTTTAATAGATATTTGAATGTATTTGTGAATTAACTAAGTTTAATGTGTTTAATCTCCATTAAAAAAATGAACGGGATATTAGATTCAGAGACAACCCCCCATGAACCCCCACAAAAATGTCCAGAGTACCTGGAAATTATGTTTTCATGAAAAGCATATAATGTTGAGAAGATTAAACAAGTAAAATTAAATATAAAATGGTGTCTTTGTTCTTAAGTGCTGGTACTTGAAGGAAATGGTTTAATTGGAGAAAAATATGGGAGTTTGTGAAAATCTTGAGAAGGATGAGAAAAACTCACAGTTTCACAGTTGTTATGGGCAGCTAACTTTGCTTTTGTTAAGTACAGTTTTATTGTAATACTTAATCCTGATCACAGTCTTGAGATGCACACATCACACTGATGTTATTTGATTATGAACCATGATATGATTTGTATTCACATTTATTTTTGGCTTACCAAAAAAAGGAGAAAGAAATAGAAATAATATTCCTAAATTGATGAATAAAAAGTGAAGAGAGTAAGTAGTAAGTAAAGTGAAATGTGTGGGAAAGAGATTTCTTGATATTATTGCTGATAAATCAGGAATGGTATTGTAAAATGAAAATATATGATATGTATAAATGATGCCATTATGGGAAAGAAAAACTTCCCAAGTAGCAGCAAGACTGGTTGCTATTTTTGTGAGTAGAAAGGGGTATGTAAGCTATGTAAAACTATTTAAACATTAAATATTCCTATTGTAGGTGTTTATAATTTGTTTTGATTATTTTCTTTAGGTGAGTCTCGGTGACCTAAGGTACAAATGAGACTGCAATTCAAATAAAATGACATATGTAAAAGATCCTCATGTTTTAATTGTGTAACTCTGGACATTATGCAGATTAGTATATATTTTCAACAAAAGATAAAACATTATATATATATGTGATATTATAATTAAAATTATAAAGCATAACTTCTCTGAAAGATGTGTTCTCTGTTTTTCTAGACTATGTGCGTGTGTGTGTGCGCGTGTATATATATGTGTGCATCTATATGTGTATGTGTGTGTGTGTGTGTGTGTGTGTGTGTATAATGTTGCATGAATTAGCCTCCAAAAATACTCTGTAAAATTTTGTTCTGTTGCTTGGAATAAAATGTATGTTTTATTTAATAGGAGTTGAATGTTACCTAAAAGTTTGGGACAGTGCTAATTTTGTTAAACTTAAAATGTATTTTTTATCATATGTGCTATTACCTATATACTCTTAATATCATTCTTTGCCTTTTACTTCTTTTGACTCTTTCTTATCCTTTTCCCTTTACAATTAAACTTGAATGAGACATGCATAGTTGCTTATATTGTCAATCTAATGTTGGACATCTCTATCTAGAATACCAAAGGAATCTAAACATTAACAAACCCCAAACTCATCTCATTCCCAACCCCTCTGCCAACCTCAGTTTATGGTACTGTAATCCCAGTCATCCAGATCAAAAGCCTCTGGAAGTTTTCCATTTTTTCTCTTTTCATTATTTTTGCTTCTTCTTTCTGCACAATGTCTTAAATTCATTCTGTTTCATTACCTCTTTGTAGACCTCAGGCTGTCTGTCATCTAGACCTGTTCTGCCAGTAGAAATATACTATCAATACAAACCACTCTATAAACACTTTAGTAGCCACATTAAAAGAACAAAAACAGTTAAAATGAATTTTTATATTTTGTTTAATCTAACATTTAATGTATTATTTGAACATGTAGTATTTTAGAATTGTTACTGAAGGATTTTATCTCCTATTGTTTTCGTTGAAATCTAGTATATATTTTACACTTACATTTCATTTTAAACCAGCCACATTTTCACATGCTTAATAGTATATGTCTGGAGAAGGCAATGGCACCCCACTCCAGGACTCTTGCCTGGAAAATCCCATGGACGGAGGAGCCTGGTAGGCTGCAGTCCATGGGGTCGCTAAGAGTCGGGCACGACTGAGCAACTTCACTTTTCACTTTTCACTTTCATGCATTGGAGAAGGAAATGGCAACCCACTCCAGTGTTCTTGCCTGAAGAATCCCAGGGACGGCGGAGCCTGGTGGGCTGCCGTCTATGGGGTTGCACAGAGTCGGACACGACTGAAGCGACTTAGCAGCAGTAACTATTGTCTCATACAGTATAGTTGTACACTGTTACAAGAGCTTCCTCCCAGTTTCCTGGCTTTTATAGTTTGTCTTTAACTGGTTCATTCTCCATATCACTGTCAAAAAAAGCAAATTTGATCCTTTCATTCACTTACTTGTAAACCTTCATTTATTTTCAGATTGCTATAGAATTATTTTCTTTCTCAAGGCCTTTACTGTCTGGTCCTGATGAATTACATCGGTTTCATATCCTGCTAACTTTTTCTTCCACATCCGCATTGACGGCTCTGCACTCTTTTATAAACTGTGTTCCTTCCATTTAGAATATCCTTTTCCTTAGACAAATTCCTGTTCATTCTTCAAGACCAACTCATAAACTATCTACTTATGAAAAGTCTTCTCTGGTACCTTCAGATAAAGTCAGTTATATGTATATATATACATGTATATATACACACACACACACATATATAAAAGATCTGTGTTTATTTCTGTTATGAGCACACTCATAACTCACTTGCATGCCTCCCTCTTACTGTTTTGTTTCCCCAGAGCTTAGCACAAATACTCAGTTTATAGTTTAGCATACTTGAACTAAAAAATAAAAGGCATATGTATTTGGGCTACACTTTGATTTAGATGGTATGCTTCTTTAATTTTTTGTTCTTTCAAGGGAAATGCATAGGTTATTTGTGATCCCATATTATCACTCTAAATAGATGATTTTGCTTTTCTCACAGGTTCAAGTAAAAAGACAGTTGAAAGAAACAAATGACAAGAAAAATGAAAGCTCTTTTAAGAAGCAGCTATCCTGTCAGGAAAATTCTAAAAGCTGTATGAGGTTAGTGATGAGGATCAGAAATGGAATCCAGTTGTGTAGAATCAGAAGTTAGCAAATAAGAAAAAAGAGAATACTTTAAAAAAAATGATGTGAAATTTCAATGTACATAATTCTTTTAAAGCATTCCCTTGATAATTTAAGGACAGACCAGATGAAATCTGAGAATATAATTTATTTGACCTTTGTCTTTGATGAATTAGTTTTTTATTTTAGTTTTTTTCCTAGTTTGTTATAGATTGATACTTTTATAAGATAAAAGTTACAGCCATGTTAAAAAAAACAAAACACAAGCCATTATGGATGAGCATTGGTGCACAGCCCATATTTTGAGTAATTGCTCTAGTATTTATGGGCAGAAAATAGAAAGTAACTAATGATACAGTACAGCATTCTTCATGAGACTGTTGTAATTGAAACTATTATTTTTCTCCTTTTGCTTCTTTATGTTGTAGCAAACACTTGCTAGTACTGTAACAAATGTTTATGTTTGAAAAAATTTTTAAACATGTTTGTATTTTTTAGCTACTATTGTTAAAACATAATTGCCTAGAAATACTTAGAACTCAAGTTTAACAGGTATTAAGGTAATTTTTAATTGAATTGTGTACTGGAGATTTATTACTGAAAATAGCTTGTTGTAGTACTTATAAAATTTAACCCCTTTTTGATCTGAATTATATGTAGAGCTGCCGCAAAGTTGTATTAAGTCAGTATATTGTCAACTTCACAGTTAAACCTGTGGCTCATTAGTACATTTCATCAGAATATGAATACCGTGAGAGAGTAGATGTGTTACTAAAAACATTGACAGGACTCCTTGAGATTTACTGAATAACGCCACTTGTAACTCTGTAGCTCTCTAGATCTTAACTTTTGGGAAGTTATAGAGTTCTTTAGTAATCTGAAGAAAACTGTAGAGAACTTCTTCCCGAAAAGATACATCATAAAATATAGACAGAAGTTCGTAGATTTTAAGGGATTTGTGAAACACTTAGTTCAAGAGCCCACCTATAAACCCAAGTTAATAACTTCAATAGAGCAAATTTTATGTACAGTTTCTTTTAATTATATTTGAGTTAGCTTTGACTCTTCCATTTATGTTTGCTTCGTAAATAACACATTATCCCCAGGCATAATGAAGAAATAGCTTTTACTAGCTTTATTCTTCATTCATCTCCTATTCTTGGCTATGGCAATGTCATAGATAGGCATTTTTTCAGAATTACCCAGTCCTCTTGGCTCCTCCTGAGAGTGCAGTGCTCATTATTATTGAACCTGCAACAGGGTCATACAGTGGGTTGGACACACCTGAGGTAGTCCACGTGGTTAGCTGTTTTTTCTCAAGGACTTGTTGTTGAGGGATGGTAAAAGGAAGTAACAGATGCAAAATAATAATTTGTTTTTGCCCACCGAGTCAGACCATTAGTGATTTCTCTCACGGTAAATCTGTCAGTTACTAGATTCTTTTTGGAGTCTTTTGGATGTTTTTTAGAATTCCTCTCATTCAGTCTTATATTTATAAGATGTATGCCTCATTTCCAGCACTTAGAAAATAACCCATTTGGTGTTGCCTCTCCCTTCTAAAGATGTAAGACTCCTCTTTCTGATACTTTCCACTATTCCAGGGAAAGAAAGGGATTGCAGTAGTGATTTGTTTTGTGTTAGTGTCTCCTTTGTAGTTATTGGAGTGGAGAGTGGCAGCGAAGTGGGGGATCCAGCTCATCGTGCTTTCTTTGCTAAAATTTAAAACTTGGTGCACAATAGCTTTCATTGTTGTGGGCAGTGGATTGAAAATAAATGAGTAGAGTAACAGTTTTCTGTTATTTCATCTCTTTATTGATGTTTACAGAAAAAAGATCATAAGAGAAGATCTATTAAGTGCAAAACTTTATGACTTGAAGATGATACACAGTAAGTGACTTTTTCCTTGTATGTTCTACTTTTTTTTTCTTTGTTTCTTACTTTAATGCTTCTGCCAAAGTTCTTGTAAATAATATTTTGGCTTGGAAAACAGTCATACACAACAGAACTTTGCTGAGCTCTGTGTACATTGTATTCAGTTCTACGTATATTACTTTCATGGAATCATTTATACTGTTTCCTGCCCTTCTTATTTTCCTGCTCAACTTGGAGGAAGGGAAGGGGTCAGTGAATAAGAGATTTTGTGTGTGTGTGTGTGTGTGTGTGTATTGGAAAGGAAAATGAGAAAAGGGTATTTTCCATTTACTCGGTTAGCAGCCTATATTGTGGTCTTAACTCGACTCATTAGTGCCAAAGTCCTTAGGGGAAATGAGATAAAATACCTTGTAGGCCAATAACTATAAGCAGTAATGAGGGAAGTCTAACAGTAAGAAGTTAATCCACAGTTCCCAGAGGAAGTTGTGGTTTGGCTTCAAGCCACACTTAATTTCAAACTTTATTTAGAAATAAAACATTTCTTACCTATTTATCTATGTACTGTGTTCAGTTGCTCAGTCGTGTTTGACTCTCTGCAACCCCATGAGCGGTAGCCCTCTAGGCTCATCTGTCCATGGGGTTTCTTAAGTCAAGAATACTGGAGTGGGTTGCCATTTCCCCCTTTAGGGGATCTTCCAGACCCAGGGATTGAACCCATGTCTCCTGTGGTTCCTGCATTGGCAGGGTGGATTCTTTACCACTGAATCACCTGGGAAGCTCACATATCTATTTGGGCAGTTAAATATGCCTGTCTTTTGTTGTTGTCTAATGTTATGGTTCTCTAATACAGGAAAGCTTTGCAGCAGAATCTGAGAAAAATGTCACGTTAGTGTTTTGTGGCTCCTCTTAGAAACTTAAGCTGTTTATTTTTTTTCCAAAGAACAACTTACAGTACAGTACAGTCGCTCAGTCGCTTTGCGACCCCATGAATCGCAGCACGCCAGGCCTCCCTGTCCATCACAAACTCCCAGAGTTTACTCAAACTCATGCCCATCGAGTCAGTGATGCCATCCAGTCATCTCATCCTCTGTCGTCTCCTTCTCCTCCTGCCCCCAATCTCTCCCAGCATCAGGGTCTTTTCCAATAAGTCAACTCTTCGCATGAGGTGGCCAGAGTATTGGAGTACTGTGAGCTAATTGTAAGCAGGGAGAGGTGAGCATTTATTTTCCATGCTAGGTTACAATTAATTTCTATTTATAGATAGAATTAATGAATTCATTGTTCTTAAAACTAAATGGTAATCAACTTCCATTTTTTTATATATTTGAATACCACGTTTGGGTGGTGGTGGTATTGTTTTTTTAATTTGAATTAACATGGTCTCTCAGAATTACAGATAATCCCAGATTTAAAGATTAATAAATATATGTCTTTAATAATTTACTGTTAAAGTGAAATTTCACTAAAAGAACTTTAATGGTTAGATAAACATTTTTCTTTAGTTAAAGAACTTTAGATATCAAAACTTCTTTGTTTTTCTGGGTAATGGCTATAGATTAACATTGTTTTTTATTGAATAGCCTTTGTTTTGGTAGCTCTAGAATCAAATATAAAATTTACTGCTGAGGAAGATTAAGTGATGTTACAGGTTTTCTCTAGGTAGTGTAGTGCACTCTTACTATGATAATCTTAGTTTTAAGACTGCAGTAGTTTTCTTTAAGTGTGCGTCTCCTGCCTGGGCTTATTTTTAGAGAGAGAGAAACATAGGCAAATCTTAGACCTATAGTGCTTGAGTATTAGTGAAGGCCATTTATAAGAATCTTTGATTCATTTAGATTTGAGTTTTATTTTACTATTCAGAATGTGGAATACTAAACAAGTTTTCAGTGAACCTTCTAAGCCAGTTCAATAGTTAACTTTTTCCTTCCTACTTATCAAGATATAATTGATATATACAATACCAGTTTAAAGTGGTCAGCATAGTGATTTGACTTACATACATGATACATCATAAAATGATTACTGCAGTAAGCTTAGTGAGCATTCATCATCTCATATAGATACAACATTAAAAAAATAGACAAAAATTTCTTCCCTTGTGATGAGAACTCTAGGATTTAGATTGACTCTTTTAACAATTCTCATGAATAATTAACAGGAATGTTAATTGTATTAATCATGTTTACATTCCATCCTCAGTTCAGTTGCACAGTCATGTCTGACTCTTGGTGACCCCACAGACTGTAGCATGCCAGGCTTTCCTATCCATCACCAACTCCTGGAGCCTACTCAAACTCATGTCCATTGAGTTGGTGATGACATCCAACCATTCATCCTCTGTCATTCCCTTCTCCTCCTGCCTTCAGTCTCTCCCACAGCAGGAGTTCCCAGCATCCAAGGGGTTGTTTGCATCAGATGGCTGAAGTATTGGAGTTTCAGCTTTAGCATCAGTCCTTCCAGTGAATATTCAGGACTAATTTCCTTTAGGATGGACTGGTTGGATCTCCTTGCTATCCAAGGGACTCTCAAGAGCCTTCTCCAACACCACAGTTCAAAAGCATCAATTCTTCGGCACTCAGCTTTCTTTATAGTCCAACTCTCACATCCATACATGACTACTGGAAAAACCATAGCCTTGACTAGACGGACCTTTGTCAGCAAAGTTATGTCTCTGCTTTGTAATATGCTGTCTAGGTTGGTCATAGCTTTTCTTCCAAGTAGTAAGTTCTTTTAATTTCATGGCTGCAGTCACCATTTGCAGTGATTATGGACCCCAAGAAAATAAAGTCTGTCACTGTTTCCATTGTTTCCCCATCTATTTGCCATGAAGTGATGGGACTGAATGCCATGATCTTTTCTTGAATGGTGAATTTTAAGCCAACTTTTCACTCTCCTCTTTAGCTTTCGTCAAGAGGCTCTTTAGTTCTTCTTTGCCTTCTGCCATAGGGGTGGTATCATCTGCGTTTCTGAGGTTATTGATATTTCTCCTGGCAATCTTGATTCCAGCTCGTGCTTCATCCAGCCCGCTATTTCGCGTGATGTACTCTGTATATAAGTAAAATAAGCAGGGTGACAGTATATAGGCTTGACATACTCCTTTCCCAGTTTGGAACCAGTCTGTTTTTCCATGTCCAGTTCTAACAGTTGCTTCTTGACCTGCATACAGATGTCTCAGGAGGCAGACAAGGTGGTCTGCTATTCCCATCTCTTGAAGAATTTCCCACAGTTTATTGTGATCCACACAGTCAAAGTCTTTGGCATAGTCAATAAAGCAGAAGTAGATGTTTTTATGGAACTCTCGCTTTTTCAATGATCCATTGGATGTTGGCAGTTTGATCTCTGGTTTCTCTGCCTTTTCTAAATCCAGCTTGAACATCTGGAAGTTCACGGTTCATGTACTGTTGAAGACTAGCTTGGAGAATTTTGAGCATTACTTTGCTAGCGTGTGAGATGAGTGCAATTGTGTGGTAGTTTGAGCATTCTTTGGCATTGCCTTTCTTTGGGATTGGAATGAAGATGGACCTTTTACAGTCCTGTGGCCACTGCTCAGTTTTCCAAGTTTGCTGGCTTATTGAGTGCAGCACTTTCACAGCACCATTTTTTAGGATTTGAAGTAGCTCAACTGAATTCCATCACCTCCACTCGCTTTGTTCATAGTGAGGCTTCCTAAGGCCCACTTGAGTTCACATTCTTTTGACTTCCTTTATCCAGTTCTCCTTCCCTCACCACTTGCCTCTGGTAACCACAAATCTTATCATTTTTTTCTATGATTTTTGTTTGTTTGTTTTTGAACTATAATTGACCTACAGTATTATGTTAGTTCCTGTCACACAACTTCATGAGTCAGTATTTTTGTACATAATGATCACCATAATAAGTCATTACCATCTATTATATGAATGTATCACATAATTATTGACTATATTCCCCACACTGTATGTTTCATTGTTCCTCTTAATTTCCCTCACTTGTTTCTATCCTCTCAATCACCTCCCCTCTTCCAACAGCTTTGTTCTCTGTATGTTTGACTTCTGTTTAGCTGTGATGGTTTTGTTTTTTAGATTCCATATATAAGTAAAATCATACAGTCTATGTCTTTCTCTGTCTTACTTATTCCACATAGTATAATTCCCTGTAGGTCCATGTGTGTTGTTGCAGATGGCAAAGTTTTACTCTTTCTAATGGCCGAGTAACATTCGTTGTGTGGAATATGTTTGTGTATCTCACATCTTTTTTATTCATTCATCTGTTGATTGGCACTTAGGTTGCTTCCATATCTTTGCTATTATAAATAATGATACAGTGAAACATGGAAATGCATATATCTTTTTGACTGAGTGTTTTATTTTCTTTGGATAAATGTCCAGGAATGGAATTAGCAGATCATATGGTTGTTCTATTTAATTTTTTGAGGAATCTCCATAATTTTTTTCATAGTATCTGCACCAAGTTACATTCCCATCAACAGTGCACTGGGGTTCTCTTCTCTCCACACCTCACCAACATTAATTTTCTGTTATCATTTTTTATAACAGCCATTTTTACAGGTCTGAGGTGATATCTAATTGTTTTGACTTGGATTTCCCTGATACTTAGTGATGTTGAGCATCTTTTCATGTGCCTGTTGGCCATTTGTGTGATTTTAGAAAAATGTTTGTTCAGATTCTCTGCTTATTTTTAAATCAGGTTCTTTGTGTTTCTGATGTTGAGTTCTTTTAAGTTTTTAATTCCTCATTTGATATGTTGTTTTCATCTTCTCCCATTCAGTCGGTGGCCTGTTCATTTTGTTTTTTTTTTTTATTTTTATTTTTTTAGTAAATGAACTTTTTTTTTTTTTTGCAAGAGGTAAGTAAAAGATTCAATTTGATTCTTCTCGGGGCGGGGGGGGGGGAAGGAGTTGAAAGTAGGTCTTCATTTTGCAGTCATCATCTGTACGTGGCCTGTTCATTTTGTTGATAGTTTCCTTCATTGTGCAAAAGCTCTTTAGTTTGATATAGTCCCATTTAGTTGGTTCT